TCTTCTATCCAATTAGTTGATACATCCCATACTCCTATAGATATAATTTTTTTACAAGTCTTTTATGTGGCACCTTGTCAAATGCTTTCTGAAAATCCAAATACAACAAATCTACACCCTTACCCTCATCTACATAAGCAGTAACCTTTTCAAATAATATTAAAAGATTTGTAAAGCAAGATTTTCCCTTAGTGAAACCATGTTGACTATCCAGTAAAATTCTAAACTTTGTTAAATGACTTGCAAAGCATATTTTATCAGACTTTCCAAAACTTTTCACACAACTGATGTAAGACTAATGGTTCTATAATTACTGGGACAATTTATATCACCTCACTTGAAAAGAGGAGTTACATTAGCCAACTTATCTCACTCTTAAACACACTGAAAAGTGTAGTATTTGGGAAAGTTATAAATGCTGGTAGTAAAAGGTTGTGCAGTAAGATAATATAAATTGACAGCTTGGCTAGTTTGAGTAAAATAGAAAATATGAAAATATTAATTATAAAGTCTATAAGATTATCTCTGGAAACCTATGACCAAAAAAAAAGAAAGAATGTTTTAGTCTTGTCTGTTAAGAATGAGATGAATGCTTTGAAGAACATATCAAATTTTTGAGAAAAATTCCTTATCATTGTGGGTAAAAAATACTTATTGTTCTATTTTATACGAACCCCAACCAACTTATTGCTAGTGACATTAACATCTTCAGGAAGTTAAGTGCTGCAGGTATTAGACAAAAAAGACTGTAGAGATTATAAAGAATGTTTTCATCTACATGTTAAGAAACCTCCTCATGAAAAGAAAATTTTAGATTTTGTTCTTAGCATTGAAGATGTGGTTAGAAGTATTGCTGTGAAGGAGCAATTATATACTAAAGATTATTAGAAAATTATTGTTCATTTATTAGGGGAACTAAATTTAGATACCCCAAGGAATGTATTAGGCCTCTATGTCACATATTATCTTTTCAATTTCACTTTTGGTAAAAAAGAAACGAAATCTGTAACATGTGTTTGTGTATGTATATATATATATATATATATATATATATAT